GAAAAACGCGCAACAGACACTCCAGCTGAGCTACCAGTAATGGGTGGGCACAGTTCCTGCTAGCTACCATCCAGTTATGGTGCCGCAAAATACGTTATGTTTTTTGCATGAAATGTGATGGTGCTTGAAGGATGAAGCTAAGCGGGAGGGGGATGGACAAAGAAATTCATATCAGGAACGCCAAGGTGGTCAGTTTCTAGCCATGACAACAAGTGTAGCTGACCAGATGTAACCATCGCCTTTCGGACTCTAACCTGGGAGCTGAGAGACTCCAACCCAGACCAACATCAAGGTAAGGACCTACAATTCTCTCGATCAAGTCATCACTTGCACACCCCTCCTTTTCTTCCATCCACACCCCAGGCGGGGAAACAATGCTCTTCGCGAGAGCCGGTGGGCAAGCACTTGCAACGCGTAGCTCCTGCATTGGAGCCGGAGCTTAAAATAACGCTGCTGAGCGGTTCACTTCCTCTTTCTGTGCCCTACATAGGGCGTCAAATACGCTCATGGCTCACACGATGTTCCCACCAGATGTGAGTCAAACTGCGAAGGTGCCGGTGGTCGAGAGTAACTAGCTTCTTTTAGCCTGCCTATCTAACCGGCCAGATTTCCGTACCATACGTGCGAGCAAGTCATACGGCTGCCTTACACAGCCTACTCCTCATGGAGAGAGTGATGTCACACCAGGGCCATAAGTGGCGAATGTGAAAAACAACGTCTCGTGCTTTTGCTATGCGGTTTGTGACCACATCTTTGATTCCACGGACGATGATAAAACTGCCTAGACAATTGAATTTCTGACCGACTTCTAGCTGGTCGCAACCAAGGGTCAGTGCTGGAGGCGGTCCTTGCCAACATTGGCAGAAATCCTTGCGGATCGATGATGCAAAGTATAGCCCGAATGAATAACAACCACTGCTAATCTGTCCAGTGCTGCTTGGCACGTTTGTGAGCTATCCCATAGGAGGAAAATATCGTCAGCCTAGCCCCATTTAATAAGCTTTGCACTTAAGAGCGGCTTCACAACTGCTAAATTGTGTCTTGTAAATGTGATCTCCATGACTTCGTCATTAGCAAGGTGGAGAAGAAAGGTGGCGGCGGACATCCTTTTCTTACAATGCTCGAGTTATTGAAGTGGCGGCAGCTTTCCTTAAGCACTTAGCCTGCCCGAGTTATGCTCGTAAAGCGTCCGGGTAAAATATACATATTTCTCGGACACACTTTTTCTTAATAGACAGTCGTACGTTCACACCAAATCTAAGGCGACTTTGATATCAAGAGGCAAAACAACGGCCGGCCGCCAATAAATGTGACGATGCTCCAACATTTGGCGAAAGGCAAAGATGTGATCGATGCAGTCCCGACCTCTACGTAACCCGGCTTGCTCCTCACGAATCTGGCTTTCACGAGTACCATTCAATCTGCGAAGGATGACAGTGAGAAGT